CACAGTAAGATTAATATATCTTCTATATATTTAAAGAAAGCCACAATATCTATGCTGGGTGGTAAACATCAGCCTTGTCAAATCAGGAAAGTATGAAATGTCTAAATTTTGATGAAAATATGTGAAAAAAATCTCACCAATCTTAGCTGGTCAACGACGATATTGAATTGTCGACTTTTCTCTTTTAACTGATTGTATTCCTCGATCAAACGATTTTTTTCGTCACTAAGAACAGCTGTACGATCCGTTACCTACAAGTCGAAAGAGAAAGCTTCATAGGTATTATACATTCCTTGAACAACGGTACTAAACTCACTTTCTTCTGCACAGCTTCAACAGAATGAAATATATTGTTGAGATTATCGATGAAGGAATCACGGAAAGACGACTTTGTTGCCCTGGCAGGAGAAATGTGCAGTTTCCTCTTCTAGCAAGGAAAATTTGAAACACTCAGAAGGTGAAATTTACTCACAATGGCAGAACGTCCTCAATTTTCGATAACAGCTCTATGTCCTTCTTAATGTAATTGCGTACATCCAAGAGCGTGTTGTAAAGTGTCACATATTGTCGAGCATTACGATGCTTACTTTCTACTGCAATTCTACAAGTTAATCCCTACATTCGAAAGGATAGGTAATTTTAATCCTTAATTCCTTAACTATACAGGAACTAATTAACTTGCAATTACTGGTCTTTTTCTTGTTCAGCACCATTACTGGTCTTTTTCTTAAACTTTAGTTTCAAAATATATAACTCGTAAAAAGAGCTCAGTATTATGCTGGTTCATTTTGTCCCCTCTATTTGAAACCTATCTGGAGAGAGCGAGCTCTTCCACTAATTATTTTCTTAGATTTGTTAACTAAAAAAAATTCCTGGTATCACCGATTTAAAAATTCGTCCTAGATCTGCAACAGAAACCGAGGTGAAAAAAGTAAAGAGATAGAGTGTAAGTAAGAAAATCGAGAAAAAATTGCTTACTTTGATTGAATAACTCGATAAACCGCTGCTGATACTGAGCGAGTTCTTGCTGTGTTGGAACACTGTCAATTTCGTACTTTAGAGCGGCGACACGTTGAGAAGACTGAAAATTATGGAAGAAAAATGCCTCGTCAAATAAGGATACAATGTTTTGGAAAAGCTCCATAAATAACGTCGCACTTAGATGTAACTCGGAGTAAAGTAGCTTCGGCATCGGAAAAGAAAGTTATCAATTGATTATCTTAATAATCCCATTCAGTGCCAATAAATCATACGGGGCACAAAACGTTCCCTATTTATGAAACGATTCTAGTTTCCCAAGATTGTTCTCCATAGTTTCAGAAACCCTTGCCGGGGCGTTACCAGAACATCATAGCAGACAACTGCCGGAAAATATGGATTGGCAGGCTGTTTGTCATTTTATAATTAGATTTCCTGGAGCATGGCAGAAATTTTCAGTATCGATTCTAGAGATGTTGTTTCACTATTTGAGTGGTTCCATATATTGGGACAGGTGGTGAAAGGATATTACACCTCAAAAATTGGAGGAAAAAGGCTAACTTGTAACTAAAGTACAGAAAATTAATAGGATATCAAGTACTGGATTTCACAACCTGAGAAGGGTTTGATTTCGTTAGGATCAGATCAAGAATCAATGTCGCAGTACCTCCGCTAGTCTCAGTCGCTCAGCAGACAATTCTTCCTCGATCTTCTTAGGATCATCATCAATCTAAAAACTCTTCTTCGTGAAGAAGAATCGAGAGGAAATAAAAACTGTTCTGATAAAAAATGTCGTTTTTATTTTACTGTTAAATTTTTCTATGCTTAAGAAGAAACCAGCTTCACTCCAAACATTGAAGGCTCGCAGTTAGCTGCTACACCAAACATAGTATTAAACTGAGTAAAAAGCACGTTCTGTTTCAATTTCTAAATAACGTTTTGTCCACAGAAAATGAACTGTGATACCCCATACCGTCGAGCGAGGCGTAACGGAGTAAATAAACATGGTGTTTATTAACTCAGGAAAAAAAATGCTTTCTTGAAATTTTCCCTATTTCGAAAAGTAGCTTTAAAACGCTATAATTCATTTTGAACACATTTAATATTAAGAACAAAAGACCGTTCGAATCTCAACACTTCTGCCAACAAGATAAAATTTAGTCCCTCCGATATATTGAAGTTCTTAAAACGACGAATATGAAACGCATTTTCTACAGAGCTGACTGTCGAATACCTTTCTAGACATGTCGACAAAGTCGGCCAATTATTACCCTCTAAAATCAAACCGAAGGCAAATAAATACATCACCTACAGTTTGCCAATCAGTAGTTCACCTAGTTATTCCAGTCATGAGTCTTCATCTAGTATCGTATTGTTCTTTATTGTTCCCAAGATCGACTTTTTATTCATCCCGGCATTGAATTATGTGTCATTTCCTTGCCAGCAATCGCAAGGTTCTTATTCAGCATATGTCTAGTTCCTTACAAAAAGTATACATACAACACCACGATAGCTGACATTTCGGCAGTATTGCCCTCTTCACAGTCTGGAAGTGTACACTGATACGTAATTTTCTAGGTCAAACGCTTCAATAGCACAAACAGAAAGATGAAAATCTGAATGATAATTGAATGAACGTGAATCTGACAATCTGAACGAACGTATCAGTGTACCCTTCCTTCCAGGCTCTGAAGAAGGTGATTCTGCGGAAACATCAGCTACCGTTGCATTACATGTGTTCTTGTTGTGCGGAAGTAAACGTGCGCTGTATAACAACCTCGCGATTGCTAAAAAAGAAAACGACGCGTTTTTTATTGGGTTCTTATTGCATTTCATGATTACTCACATTAGCTAGGATGTTTTACACCTTCTCACGTCGACCCAGCACTCCAATTATGTATATGTATAAATACAGGGCGCGTGTGGTGCAGTGGTCGAGACGCCCTACAACACACGTAGAATCGATCCCCGCATTTATGGGCCACCAAGCCTTCCATCCCTCCAGGGTCGGGAAATTGGTACCAGACTTGTCTGGGAGGACAACAGCATTGGCTCGATAGCTCGACAGGCCACCGCGAGTATTGATTTGTGCATACATAACAATATCCTATCCTACTTCCTCGCAACCATATTCCTTGACCAGCAGTGTACAATATCGTTATTTCTCCATCATACCACTATGATACCAGTCTACAAGCTATTTCACCATCGCTAATGCTCCTCATTGCTCCCTATACTACCTCCATCTAGTGTTCACGCTATCGCTTATGTTTGTTACACTTTTAGTCGCATTGTCGTTATTTCGCTATTGTTGCACAATTAGTGTTACATAAGCGATTTAACTACCCAAATTTGAGATATGGTGTTACGATAACAACGAAAAGACCCGCGTAGCAGCACATAGCGCACAAAATTCACCATAACTTAACAGTTGTCGAGTTACCTTGAAAAGTGATAACTACCTAGCGAGAGATCCGATGAGTATAGTGGATGAGAAAAAACTTCGTAATCCAACTTGTTCCACTTGTTCAGCATTAGTTATGTACGATGTAGTGCTGAGACAGCCGTGATAGGCGTTTCCAGGTTTTCATCACTGGTCACTGGCAGTCACACACTCTTATGAATCCGAGGGAACTCTGTTATGTTGAAGCAAGGATTCTTCCAGGACAAAAACGATCCCTTCGATTAGTTCACTACGCGATCAGAGATGATCTAACAAGCCGAATTTAAACAAAAAAGGAAAGACAAAAATGAAAATAACACATAGAAACAATTAGAAAATGCATCTGCTTTGAATTTATAAAGAATTTCAGTGAACAACTTTCCATTCAGTCTAAGAGGATCAAATGCATCGGTGCTGAATTTACACAAAAGTTTTGTGGAAATCTACTCAATCAATCAGAATCGATCAGCCGTTTGTTTATACGTAATTCTCAAGGAAATACTTACAGACTGCATTGAGGCTTCCTGGTATGACTGTACCTCATCATATAATGACTTTAATTGGGCTTTCGACGTGGATTTGAGGTTTCGCTCATGTTCCCTTACATTTTCGTATTCATTCAGGAGAGCGCGAGCTTCTTCTATCTCCCTGGAAACCACGTTCACATGAAAATAAATGCCCAAAAACCCACCTGAAAGGTAGTTATAGAGAACATTCTTCACGAACATTGGAATATTCTCTATGTAAAACATTTCCAATACTGCTTCCGGTGACCTTATTCCTAATTTTCTGTATTGATGTGTGTTTCTTGTTCACCTGTAACTATCTTAAATCTATCTTCGCATCTTCTCTTAATTGCCTCTTAGCCACTATCTCATGTAGTTGCCTCGCAGGTGGCTGGAAAGTGATTCTACAACTTCTTTCAATAAACTGCTCTTCTCAGTCCGGCAGTTCGAGCACTGAATCAGAAGCAGTCAGCTGAATGTACTTTCCAGCATCTGCCGTCCCAAAGAAGTTTCCGAACAAACAGCTGCGCCCTTTCACATGTAGCCCTATCAGATTGTGCTAGTAGAAAAAACCTTTAGAGCCTCTCTCTAGGCACTGTCTTTAGTTCCCTCTGGCAAGGCTCCACTCACTACAGAAGGAACACAAGCAGCCCACGGTGTTTTGTCTTCAAGGGTTTGTAGCGTTCGTCCGGTGTTCATCCGATCTCTCAGTTCCTCAGTGCTGTAACTCCAGTGTCCACCTAACTTCCTTCAACTGCATCGCTTGTTGTCATTTCAATCTCGCTCGTATATACCCACTTAACCACATATCGCCACATACCAGATATTATTATTGTACAGTTGTTATTGCTATAAACTACTGTAACCCAAACTCGAGGTTGTTCACGACAGTTACGGAAAAAGTCCCGCGTGGCAGCTACAAGGACTAATATTTTCAACGACTTGGTATTCATATAAAGTTGGGATCTCACCGCCGCAACAGTAGTAATTTCATAATAACATGTTCGAAAATTGGTAACAGAATAACAGATACGAGAACAATACTGCATTTCTCCACCTGAAAAAGGCAAAACTTACTCAGATGTGAAACGGGAAAAAATTGCTTCCATTTCAGACTTCCTTGCAAGCTGGGTGTCATATTCAGCGACTGCTTCAGCGTGCTGTCTTTTCTTCAACTCTAGCTGTTTGTCGAGTTCATTCAGCATGTTGATCATCTAAAAGCAAAGCAAGTCATTTCATACAGAACTAATCATGATTTGGACTGCATCTGAGTGAGACATAAATTATGGAACACATAGAGTTCCAAAAGGCAAACGTTTACTATCACTGCAAGAGGAGTTAGATTATAACGTTGAACAGCAAAGTTCCATTATTCAGCTGCACGTCCCAAACAAGCAAATACACTTCATTTCGCACTGTTTTCGACCACTTCATGTTGGCGCTCCTCAATATTTATCGTCTAACTCTTCTAATTTTGCCAAAGCGGTAGCAAACTATGTAATCCATTCCCTCAGACTATTGCTACGTTGTCGCGCGACAAAACTCTGAATATCAATTAGTCCACGCATCATTACATCTAGTTCTATGTAGCAGGTGCATCAGTCTACATCCGATCCCTAGCAGCGCAGTACGCATTTAAATCAACGCATACGGCATACCGTTTTTCCGACAAAAATAACTACGTCATTTTTTAAAACGTTTCTCGTCTTCTTATTCAATTTTACATGCAAAATTTCGCACACTGTTAACGCTTTTTCTCATGCACCCTCCATCTAATTCAATGTAATCCTTCATGCTTTTAGAAAATTTAAATACCTTATGTGATTTTAAAAAATTCCTCTATCATTAAACCACGATGCTAAACTCCAATATTGCCGGAGTCAGAGAAACGATGTTAGGATCCCGTATCATGCAACTGAGAGAGGGGATTCCTAGTTCCAACCTACATCATGATCAAAAATCAGATGCCATTCTACGCGATTAAGGACAACCGATAGACAACAGACAAGCCTTCCATTTTCCCCTGTCGTGTGCAAGAGTGGCCCGGTGGGTTCTGCTCGCTCTAGGGACTCGTCGAGCATCACATCTTTCTAGGTCCTTCGTGAAGAACTCTGACTATCGAGTCGATGGTCTTCCTGCAGTACGTTTGGCATCCCGAGGAATCCAGTCACTAACGGCTCTTGTCCATCGGTTGTCATTCATACGCATTACAAGTCCGGCTCACCTCATACTTGACTGTTTGGCGTACAGTACGGCATCTTTGATTTTTGATCGTTAACGCAGGCCGAAGCTTCGGATCCTATCTCTTACTTGTGTGAAACGGAACACTCCTAGCATCGTCCTTTCGACTGCGCGTTCGATAACGCTGAGTGATCTTTCATCCTGCTTAGCGGCCAGGTTTCTGGCGCATACGTTAGGGCAGGAAGTAACGTTGAGTCGAAAATATGCGCATGGTTTTGGGTGTTATTTGTTTTCTTCACTACATCCTCGATGCTCTTGAAAACTCCCCAAGCCGCTCGTTTCTTTCTGCTGTGCTCTGGAGCTAGGTCGTTCATCATATTGATTTCCCGAGTTAGATAGACATAACTGAAGCATTCGTAGATGTTCGTTCCATTGAAAGTAAATGGGGCATACGAAATCAAGCCGTTCTTCATGAGCATCGTTTTTGTGAGATTTAGTCGAAGACCAAACTTTCCATAGATTTTATCAAAGTCGGCAAGCATACGTTCTGCTTAGCTAATGTTTGGTGCTATAAGGACGATGTCATCAGCAAAGCGAAGATGGTGTAACTGCCGACCATCGATTTTCACTCCCATATTATCCCATTCCAATGTTCGCATGACGTTCTGGAAGGTGACGGTAATTTCGGCGAGATGGTATCGCCTTGCCTATCCCCTCTTTTGACATCAATGTTAATATCGTTGTAGAATGGTAATATCTTGGTTGTGAAGTTTTTGTACAGCTCACGAAGAATCTTTGTGTACTGAGTAGAGAAAAGTTTGTGTAGAAAGCGGTGACTCGTATGTGACGCGTATTTTGCTCAAATTAAGCAGCATTAGAGCATATGGTCCATTTTGCTTCCACTCATTCATTGGAACCAATAGGTTATTTTACGACTTCGTCCATTTAATATGCAAAAAACTACAGCACACTGCAGTCATTTCCAAATGCAACTTACAAGTCTGGAGCAAGGGTAAAAGAAAAGCTTCAAAAAGCTGATTACCAATAAAAAAATAAAGGCGCACTTACGGTGGCCTACTAATGTATCGAAGCAATGCTGCTCTCCTCCCAGACAAGTTTGGTAACAATTTGGTGACCCCAAAGGTATGGAAGGTTTGGTGGTCCATGGGCGCAAGGATCGATCCCACTTGTGTTTAGCAGGGCGCCTCCGACCACTGCGCCACACGCGCCCATTACCAATCAGCGTTATAATATTACAGCTATCAATGATGATGAGATATTTGCAAAACTCCGGACCGCATGTGTCTGCGATGGGGAACGAATGCGCAATTGTCCTTTCCCGGGAGTAACGCGTTCACCGCCACACCATGCGGTTCCTTCGTTTCGCCTGTTTCTCAGCTAATTCTATCGGTCTCTACCATACCATCAGCAATCACCCGTCAGCGGGATTGATCTGGGGAGCCCAAATCGGCAATGAACCCAGTTAAGCTAAGGCTTTAGTCATAATCACAATCTTAAATATCTCAGCATCAATGTTTATACTTCGCAATATACCCTGCCATTAAAAAGAGTAGGCAGTAAATAAAACGGTTAAGATAGTTCGAACTCCACATTAAGAACAATTTACAGGAGATATTTAGGATGCGAGCTTCCTACAAATTAGTCTTCAGCGAAGGACACTTAAGTGATGGACTGGTATCAAGCACTGACCATACGAAGATACACATTACCTAGTCCTAAAGGAAACACAAACCTTTGCATTTAATCATACAGACGGCAAAAGACGGAAAAACCAAGAACAATAATTTCGCAAATTCCTACCTCTTCTTCTTGAATGTCACTCGACGATTTCAAACTGTCAACGCTGGATATATCGTCCTTAAACAACTCTATATGCAATATGAGAAAAATTTTCAACCACATATATTATCTAGAATATTTATAAACACATAGTTTCAAAACATTCAGGTAGTCACCACGTTACTGATCGAAATAGTTAATCTAAAAAGCAATTTGAATAATGTGCTATTACTTATAACTCGGTATAATTGGTAACCACCGGGAACGGCTAATCGCGATTTGAGCGTATCCCTAGGTAGTACGGAGATCTAATCAGCAGTGGATAGTTTACCCCATCCTCTACCTCGCTCCTCACCAGAAGCTCACTTAAGCTTAAGATAAGTCCAACACTCTCATTAAGAAAAGTATCCTGAAAACAACCTAGCCGAAAAACAGCGAACTTTTTCTTGATCCAGAAAGATCAGCAACCACTTACTAGTGACCATATGTCAACACGCTGGGATAGTTTTCTCATAACTTTAGAAGAAATCTATCTAAACCAGTAACACTCCAGTTAAGTACGAAACTTGGGCTCATATAATTCCTCATGAGGTCTGAAGATTTAAAAAACTATTCAAGTAATGTTTATGTGCACTTTTAGCTAGAGCAATAAGCTGCAGGGCTGTTTGAGTTGGAGTTTTAAGAGAATGAATGAGCACTTTTAAAGAATAACAAAACCACCAATGAAGAATGCCCTCTGATTACCGGTTTCGTAGTAACTCACACGAATACGTTCACTCTTTGCATCGATAGACATAAATATCTTCTTCGCAGTTTTTGTTGATAGTTTCGAATGTTGCCTTCCATCCAACCCTTCAAGACCATTGGACTGAACGATAGTCGATGGAGTTGATTCCTTTGCAGAACCACCAGACTTTGCATTGATAATCGTTCTGAAGTTCGTTAACATTATACTTGACCATAATAGATACTAATTATTCATATGTTTAAGAATATCACCACACTAACAGAGCAGTATGGCCACTCCCGGTAAATTTAGTTAATAGCGCTAGATTTTTCAACTCAGTGTAAGTCATGGACGATTCTGTTACGAGTAACGTATGATCCACAAGCGAAAGTATAACAACTTCAAAACTTCAAAGCAACATGATTCAGCGTGAAGAATTTTTTTATTCTTAGCATTTCGTCAAGATTTACTGAAAACGTCCAAAACAAAAACAGCAACCCAATTAAAAATTCTTGTAAATTCATACTTTCGAAACGAAATCGTGAAAATAATTCTAATCTTTACAAGTTCTCGACGCAAATATGGCAGCCCTAAGTGTTAACCTACTTTTAGAAACATCGTCATGGTCTCCCACACGAAATCCTGCCCATTTGATGGTGGCGGTATTCGAAAACGACTTCCGAAGGAAAAAAATAAGAAAAAAACTTTCGTACGTTTCAGGAAATTAGAATTTCAATGCAGTAAGATGAACAAAATTACGTCTTACCGGTAAAATTATGCAAATTCTAACGATTTTTACAATAAGTGATAAATTTCGCTAAAGTTGAGATGCGTTTGTGTAAAGCTGAAAAGAGCAGATATTTTTTGTCACAGTATTGTATTCATACCTTCCAGAAAATTCCGCTAATGTACATTGGGCATCATCCAATAACGACTCATAGTGTAGATTTTTCCCACGTTTGAACTGTCTACGTGGTATGATCCTCTGATGGAGATCATCGTAAATCCCACAAAGAAGAGGGACTGGAGTTTGCTAAAATTTGCTGAATATATCAACAAATCGAACCCTTCCCCTTTCGAATAACAACTACACTCCTAAGAAAAGAAGAAAAATGATAAAGCCTTCGGGTTTAAGCAATACCTGAGGGATGGGACATACACTCCACTTCATGAAGCACGGTTATATGCAATCGAACGAACATCCGGCCTGCACAACGAGTTTAGGTAGTCTACCGATGAGCAAAATCTTTGATGCTACATTCCAGGACAAGTCCCCGGAGGTACAGAAACCTTGGTGAGCTCGAGGCGCTGGACTACACAGTGAACGGTGTGCACAGCACCTCTAACCACTGCACTACACGCACACCCCCAAGAATGAAAAGAAAGATCTTAGCATGATGCTTAACTTTTATTTACTGCTTACTACTTTTTTCCACGGCAGAGTACTACGTGAAATACGAACACAATGATGCTGAGACATGAGCAAAACTCGGAGCTTCACGTGCGCTTCGAACACGCGATTACCCTTTCCGGGGGCCCCATATGTTACTGCACCACCGACGCCCTTGCTTTGTTTTTCTTTCAGCCGGTTTTTTACAATAACATTGCTATAATCAATCATCCGTCAACAAGAATAAACCGGGGAGCACAAATGCCACTGAACCTAGTTAAACTGGAACTGCAGTCAAGATCACAATGTTTAACCTTTACTTACTGCCTATTAATTTTCTAAAGGCATGGAATTACATGAAATAGACCAACAATAAAGGTAATACATGAGCAAGATAACAGGTGAGCCTTCGGAAAAGTAATAGCGGGTCCGAAGGGCACCTGAGATTCCGAGTTTCGCTCATACTTCAGCATCGTTGTGGTTGTATTCCACACAATCCTACCATATTTTAAAATAACTAACCTTTTGAGTTTTTTTGTAGTACTGGTAATTAATATACGATTTCAAGAAATCCGCATGAGTGGTCTTGAAATCCATCGCCATTTTTACCAGCCACTATAATAAAAAAGGAATGAGAACATTTTAGAATTATAGATATTCAAAAATTGGTATTAATTTCAAAGACAAATATATGACATAAAAATAAGAATGGTCCTTCCTCAAGTGAGATAATGGATCCCAGTTGATTACGAAACCTAGTAGAGCGTATTTAAAGAGCGTACACAAAGCGCGAACAGAAGAAAAATGATTGTCAAGACAAGCCTGCTAATTGAGTGTGCGTTAGAGAGTGCACCCATGAATTTCTTATGGATTCACTAACTAGAGTTGGCAGGTCGTGTAGACGTAAAATTTGACATTCTACTTACTTTAATTGACAGTAATTAAGTACGACATGAAATGACTAGATCGGGATGACTCCAGTCAACGTACGCCACCTCAAAGGTATGAAAACATGCACCACTCGGAAAAGAAACGACGTAAGAGTCTGGTAGCAAAATTCGAAAAAGAGTATGATTACATATACTAATTTGCCCGGTGTCTTAACAACTCAAGTAGAACACTTCTGATTTAAAATAAACTAATTGCTCGTGGTTACAGATATTTGCTAAGGCTAAGGACAATTTATGACGACATCTACGAAGAAAAAGTGCTTTTTCACGACAAATTCTCAGGGAAATCCACGGATTAGACCGTTACAGCAACTGTAGACAATGAGCTTAGAGTGTTGACCACCGCATTCTGTAGCAAGCTTCAGTTAAAACAGACATTCAGAAGTTGTTAAAAGACATCGAAATTATTCCAAAACGCTTAAAGGGATAGAATAGTCGTCTTGTCCATGGCGTAATATTCATCTTTCAAAAAATCTCATCAAAGCATAAGCCAAAAAAAAATCTTGCGAACTCATAATGTGTAGATGCAACCTAAGTTTTTGTGCTGGAGATATGAGACTTCATGATGGGGAAGAACGGAGAGAATAAACGCTTGCTCCATCGCTTTGTGATGTGCGAAAACAACTGCATCCTATACGAGAGAAGACGACGCTTTGCCTAGTAGGTGAACCTAGATGAAACTCGTAAAGTTTCCAAAGCCGAAATTTGAACTAGAGGGTTAAGATAACTGCTTAGCGATCTACAAAGATATCAATCCACCACTTCCAATGAAACAATCACATCAACGAATCGCTGCCACGAAACTGATGAAATCGTCCAAAATTGCACCGTATACAACCATTACTGAACAATAGAAACATCCAACCATCTGGCACGATAAACCCCTACCACCACTATTTGCACCACGAACCCTGCAGAAGTTGAGTGTATTCGGCAATACAACTATGGCACACTCATCATATTCATTAGACGTTTCGGCAGCCGACCATCACTTTTTCAATCATGTCGACAAAATCCAAAAAAAATATTCGAAAATCAACTTGCTGACGAAAATGCATTAAATAACTTGTTGTTTCCCAAACCTCAGTTCTAAACTTCCAAAATAAATAGGTATATACCCTAAAGTAAGTAGGTATAGCTAATGATAAAAATTCTTAGATTCTAACGTTACATATTCCTATCGATAAAGGTGTGTTCAAGCTGAGCTATAACGTCTCAATTTTGCCGCTCAAAATTAACCATTGTATGTAAACCAAATGAATGAGGCTCTTCGGGTCGCGTTCCGTCGTACTACGCATTCATTGCGAGAGAGGTCCAACCAATCCAAGACTTAGCGCAGCTATTCCAATTTGAAAGTGAATCGACTATCCCAGAGATCAATGACATGCGTAAAGGCGAAGATCCTCAAGCAGCAGCCGAACTAACGCGTATAATCCGAAAACCATCGTGGATGACGGATGCGAGGAAACGAATAGAATCCAAGAAGTGGTGGAATCCGAACATTTGATATTGGATTATACAGAAAATTAAGCCCTATTGAAAAAGCCACGACAGAGTTGCTACAACACTGGAAGATGAAAAAAGTACTGTTATTCATCCGATTCACTCCATAGGTAAATGACTCAATAAGAGGCATAAGAACATTAAAACAAGCATAATACGAATCATTTTTACAAATTGGTCGCTCTATCAAGCGAATATACCTGAATAACTGGGTAAATATGAAGCAGGTCTAGACCTTGAATTTGATGTGGTTCTATCGAATGCGGGCATTCCAAAGCTCCCAAAACATGTACGATTTTCTCTGTTAATGCTCTGAATTAAGAAATATAACAAGAAGGACACAACATTACCATATTCCTATCAAAAGTCTACTATTAAAACAAAGATATACATAGTAAAACTACACATTTTTTGGCCGATATCCAAACTTTCAGAGAACAAAAGATCAGCATCAACCGTGCGATTGCAGTGAGATAAACACCATACCATGCCACCAACAATCTGGAACTTATCCAAAGATCTTAGAAAAGACGAACTGAAATTGGCTGACACATGTTCATCAGCAATATACGCTAATAAAAAAGGGATAAAGCTCTCGGCGTTAATCTATCCCTTAGTGATGCCACATGCATTCGACTTCATTAAGCATCGTTGGAGGTGATTGAATGCATATTTGGCCTTTACGATGACCCCGGGTAGCCTAGCGATGTATCGAGTCAGTGATACTATTCTACCAGACAAGTCTGGTACCAATTTGCTGACCCCGGAGGATTGGAAGGCTTGCTGAGCCTGCGGCACTGCGATCGATCCTGTGTGTACTACAGGGCGCCTCCGACTACGCTACACGCGCCTCTTATATGCTAATAGCAAAAGAAAGGAAGAAAAAACAAGCATTTTGGGTACAGTGTCTTGAAGAAGGTCGTGACATCGAAACGATATCCACAATAAAGATTTGTAATAGCCTTGTGCTAGCTTACCAATGAACCAGAAGATTGATTATTTATGCCTAGACTTAGTATAACCCGGTATTGAAAAAGTCATATGATAGACACCGATCATCAGTGCAGTGCTACTGATATCCAGAAATACGGATTAGAATTTTATCACCGAAAGAAAGGAACAAATATAATGCTCACTTGGCAAACCATAGAACGGAAAGTAAAAATAAATCGAATACAACATAGAACTTCTCATCTACCGCCCATTATTTTTTTCCATGGCAGAGTATTGTGTTAAATACAGCCATAATAATGCTGAAACAATCGCAAAACGCGGACCAAAGGCTTCCTCGAACCTCGATTACCCCTTCCGAGGGTCACACATTAGCTTCCATAAAAACACAATACAATACAACGCTAGCTGACGTTTCGGCAGTATCGCCTTCTTCAGAGCCGCTTTTTCGTGACTTCC